GAGAGAGAGAGAGAGAGAGAGAGAGAGAGAGAGAGAGAGAAAGAGAGCATAAATTGATGACATACAGCCACAAACAGAGGAGGATATCTGAGATGTGAGATTTGTTTCCCCCTTAGACAGCGACTCAAGAAATACATTTTCCAATGATAAAAGAACATGACATGCAATCAAGGAATCCATTAAGATGCTGGAGGAATGAAATCCCTCGCAATACGAATACATTCAGCCATTGGCGCATTTGTCTTCACTGAGCTTCGCTCCACATGAGATCGCCCGGCAATATACCCTTCCTACAACAAGAGAGTAAAGGACAAATCGGCAAGATTGATGGCTGGAGCTTATCAGGGCAGGACACAGGGAGCCAAAGAAAGGTAAAAAAAAAATACAACCATCACCAGCCTACACATTCCATCTATGATTTCCTATGGTTGTGTACAATATTCCTCTGATTTTACGATCCCTTGTCCATCTATATAACATAACATTCTGGTATGATTCTGCACAATATGTATATTACTTAAGAAAAGCATGGCTGACATCCAGAGAGGCATCCAAACTGCCAAGAGAACCAGATCCACAACTAAATGAGGCCCAATGCTGCAAAACTGAAAACTGAAGTGGGGTTAGCTCCAAACCCGCTCTTAGGGTGTGGGCAGCTCTCCAAATAGCGCTACTTCCAGAGAACAAGCTTTCCCATAGTTTTGCACCCTGCGTGGCCCTCACAATGAATAGCTTTTCAGTGCACCAAGTTGCCCCTTGCAATCTGCAATTACATTGTTCCAGTCCGAGGACAGGACAGAACAGAATGCCGATGTTCACAGCCATCACTGAGTGAATAGGCCAACAGCCTATAAGGGCAGGTTTCAGGGAGACTTTGGGCCATCATCACTGTATTTTGACAGAAAGTTGCCCCAAATACAACAACAGCCACCAAGTGTCAGAAGAAATCAACTGAACTTAGCTTCCAGAAAACTGCTGGGCTTCAGCCCATCTAATGCCCAGGGCGTCACCAACCCTGATCTCGCACTCAATACACCAACCATCAACTCAATAGCAGAATGACAATCATGTTAAAAGCACTGAAAAAAGGCTGGCAATCTCAGAACGATTCAGGTCTTGGCGCGAAGTCATGAATCATTAGTGTCATGCCCACAACACTCACCTATACAAAGGAGAAGAGCAGTCTCTCTCTCTCTCTCTCTCTCTCTCTCTCTCTCTCTCTCTCTCTCTCTC